TCAAGGCAGGTTCTCACTGTTAGAGAAGTGAGTTATATGAAAAAGAAAAGAACTAAAATGAAGCCTCTAGTATTGCATTGGAATTGAAAGTATTGAGGATCGGCTTAAGTGTGTGTGTGTGTGTGTGAGTGTGTACTTCTATCCACTGAGAGGGCTTGGGTGCAGTGACACTCCATAAGGTGCACACACACAGCAGCTGCTCCTGGATTCCGAATAACATTCCCTACTAATAGGGCTTCTTGAAGAAAGGAAATTAAAATATGAACTTGAGGTATTTTGGTATTCCAAAGAGTAAGGAGGTACTCAAGGAATGGAGATACATGTCAACAGGGCACAGAAGACAGCTGGAAAGGTGCTCACTAGTCAACTGTAAAAGCTGAGCACCAAAGTAAATAATGGTAATAGTGATCATAACCCTTTGAATAAAATTGAAGACTATGATTCCAAACTCATATAAATAAATGAATGAATAAACAGAAAATTTGAAGAAGAATGGGGTATTTCCGTAATTTCAAAGGAACTCCCCACAAAATGTCCTAATTACAAAGAAAGTAACATTAAGGTGGAAAAGTCAAAGTTTCCTGATTTTGATGGTTGTGCTATATGTAGGGAAATGCCCTTGTTTGTAGGAAATACTCAAGTATCTGGGGATGATGGTTTGGATTGCTTAAAAGAAACAAAAAAAGTAGAAGTTTCAGTAGGTATATCATATAAATTTAAGAAATTAAGCAATAGAAGAACTAACAATATGACAAAAAATTGTGAGGAGTGGCAAAGGGGAAGCCTCAGGTATGTAAATGTGCTGAATTTCTAATCCTTTGTAGGGTGAATGAATTTGAAATATCAAGACATGGGTTCTTATAATCTATGGAAGGCAATTTGTCAATATCTGTCAAGATTAAAAAGGCTCATATCCACTGACCCAGAATTCCCACTTTGGGGAATTTACCACCCTCAATGGAACATACATGAAATGATGAATGTTAAAGGTTTTTCAATGCAAGATTGTCTCTGAGAGTAGAGGATTTTGACTGCCCAAATGTTCATCAACGGAGCCTGGTTAAATAAACAGTGGTACATCCATTCAAGGGATGCTAAGGAAGTGAAAAACAAATGAGGTATTTCCTAATGTATTGAAATGGAAAGACCTCCTAGATATTATTGTAAAGTAAAAAGGCAAGAAACAAAGCAATACATATAATATGCAATGTTTAGTGTAAAAAAAGTTGAAAATAAGAATCTATGATTGCCTATACATACATAAACAAATCCAAAAATAAATTCTGGAAATTAAATAAGATAAGAATAGCAATTACCTAGGAGACACAGGAATGGAATAGAATGGGGTTGAAAGACAGAAGGGAGATTTTTCATTATTACCTCTTATTTATTTTTTAACCCTGTTAAAAAATCACCTATGAAAATTAAATTTAAAAAATGGATAGAAAAAAACCAGAAGAATAGGAAAAGTCTAAGAGATAAATGTGGTTGGCAGAATAATGCCCCAAAATGTGCACGCACTATTTCCTAGGACCTATGAATATGTTGTCTTACATGACAAAAGGACTCTCAGATGTAATTAAGTTTATGGACCTTCAGATGGAGGGATCACCCAGGTGGGGCCAATCTAATTTTATGGGTCCCTAAGAATAGAGGACCTCTCCTGGCTTTGATCATGGCTTCTATGGAATAAAGGAACTTCAACCTCTAACTTCACTCTGTGCAAAAGAAAAATTCAAGAAAGATCAAACACTCAAACATAAATCCTAGAACCATAAACTTATGGAATAAAACATAGGAGAATATATTTATGACCTTGGTATGGATAAATCTTTCTTAGGACACAAAAATCACTGATAACAATTTTTCTAAAATGATGAACTGGTCTTCATCAATATTATCAATATCTGTTCATGGAAAGACAAGATTAGTAAAATCCATAGAAAATCCGCAGACTGGGAAAAATCAGCACAGTATGTAAATCTGAATAAGGACACACCTGCAGAATATGTAAATTACTCCTATATCAACAGAAATAAGATTAAATACCCAATTATAAAATGGGCAAAGGATTTGAACAGACACTTCACAAAAGAAGTCATGGAAATGACCAATAAGCACATGAAAAAGTGTTCAATATCTTTAATCCTTAGAGAAGTCCAGTTTAAAACCACAATTAGATACAATTTCATATGCAGTAGAATGTCTAAAATTTAAAAGTGAGAAAAGGAAAGTATAACTGAGTGTTTCTAGAGAAAAAGTGCATCTCAGCCCCTATCTATAAAAAACAAAAAAGAATAAAAATAATTCAAGGCAGATCAAACACTTAAACATAAAACCCAGAACAATAAATCTTCCAGAAGAAAACATAGGAGAATATCATCATGTCTTTGAGGTCACAAGCTGGCATGTGGCAGGATGAGAGCAAGTGGAGCTACTGTGTATTGCTGGTGTTAGTATAAAATTATACAACCAGCTTAGAGAAATCTTTGACCATTTCCTATAAAGTTAAGCATGCATCTACCTCCACGAGTCAGCATTTTCACTCCTAAGTATCTAACACAAAGGTCAAAAAGAAATGAATACGAAGAGATTTTTACAAGAATGTTCATAGCAGTCTAAGTCTTAAGAATAAAAAAATAGGAAAATGCAAATATCCATCAACAGGAAAATGAATCAATAATGTGTGGTTCATTAATAGAGTGGAATACTCAACAATGAAAAGTAACACATAACAACATAAATGATACACATAACAACATAAAGAACCTTACAGATATTGTGCAAAGTGAACAAAACTGGAAACAAAAAGGACATATTTCAGTGGTAGAAGTCACAAAGTGATGGCCTCTGTCAAAAGGGCTTTGACTGAAAAATTTATGAGGGAAGTGTCCAGAGTGATAGAGGTTCCTTACCTTGTTTTGGGTAATGCTAACACGTGCGTATACAATTTTCAAAGCTCATCAAACAGAAAATATATGAAAGGTACATTTTGTTGTATGTAATTTATACTTCAATTAAAAAATAGTGTTGGCTAAAGTATCACTTATAATTAGTTAGGGTGGAGCCACGACGTCCACACTGAGATGAGGATGTCTGAGTAGGCTAAACATGAGTAATGGAGGAAGCCATTTGGAATTTTTAAACAAAAGAGATCCATTTAAGAATTTATTTTGATAGTGCAGATAAATTATCTTTGCATGTTATAGTCTTTTATTTTGTTCTTTTACATAGAAATAGTATGAAAATCATAAAATTAATTATAGTTTAAAAAATCTAATGGATCATTACCATTATTTTTGAAAGAAAATTAGTGTTGGCAGCTGTGTGGAGAGTGGACCATGAAAGGATATCATTATCTAATATGTGAACAAAATTCTGCTCTTACGAAACCAGATATGCTACTAGGAAATCTTAGATTCACCGATCAGCATTTCTGACACATCCGAGAGGATCTAGGGTTCCCACTCCCTTCATCTGTGGGGTGCGTCACCCTGGACGTCTGCTAATGTTGAACATCTGTGTTTTGTTTTCATTGAAAGATGTCCCATTTGGACTGCCAAAAAGAGAATGGGGTCATTAGTTATTCTACGATGTGAAGTTATCCAACAGATCATTCTTGTATGAGGAACAGTAGTGTCAGGAAAGCCATAGCTGCTATCATTAATCCTAAAATTGGCTTCGCCCCTGGGAGTCATTGCAGTCCTGATTTCAAAAGAGATTGCTGGATTATCACAATCTTCAAACAAAATGAAAGTAGTTTTATACAGCATTTATCAACTGGGAATCATTGTAAACTGATGTTTTCTGAATACTAAAGTAAAAACATAAATAAAGAACAAGATAAGGTACTTATGTGCATGCTGAATTACCAAGGTTTGAGTTATGTTTAGTAGTTTGAGTCCATATATGTTTGGTGAAAATGAATAATCCATGTGAATTACTCTCAGTTTGTTTATGTGATTATTTTATTAACTATGGCAACTTATTTTCCATTATGTTGGACCACTGGATGTTTACTAATTTGTGTGAAAGACCGTATTCCAGAAGAGAAATAAGCTGTTGTACATTATGTATCTTTCATATCCTTATTATATGTGATAATGTATGAAACCAAATTCATTATGATTTGATTCATTTTGATCATAAAGAGGCCATAATGTATGATTATAGGTACCTATGTGAAGGGTTGGAATGTTAAGTGGTGCACTCTTTTTTCTGCTTAAGAAACCTCTTTTTTATTCATGTGTTTAATTGTGTCCTTCTGAAATATATACAATTAATAGACGTGTAATCATGTCCTTCTAAAATGTCTTTTTACATTTGCTAACCAAAAGGTCTGTAAGGGACTATGAGTAAGATAGTTGTTGGTTTTAATTTTTATATACATATTATGTAAGCGTTTATTCACCATATATGTAGACTTATATTCACTAATTAGGTCCACAATTTGAATTTAAAGTAATAAAAACAAAAAAGATGATATATGCAGAAGAAATGGAATTATAATTCTAGTTTTATTAGCACCGTAGAGACCATGATAAGCATACCTTTATTTTAAACATGTGGAACAGTTCTAATTTCACCCCTCTGTTTCTTAGCTCTCTATTTTATAAAATAGAAGTGTTATTAAGATACAAGGATACTTGGAAAGACTCTGTGTGTGTGTCTTGCTTTATATAAATACAGTATAATTAAATTGTATGTATATATATGACGTTTATTCATTATAATCTACTAATAGAACTTTATTTCAAGACCCTATTTGTCATTGAAGATCTGACTGTCTTCATATCTGATGCATTGCTCAGATATGTTATTCCATCTCTTTCTACTGTGTGCCTCTTCAACTCCTCTGATATTTCCCAGCTGCCCACAGTTGTACGTGTTCAAAATTTGCTTTGATTATAAATTTAGTGGTTTGAATCACAGTGCAGAATACTAAATAATTGAAAAAGAATACTGTCATTTAATCAATCAAATCTTATATTTTCTTATAGGAGGATGTCAAAAATGAATATTTGCAAGAAGAAAAACAAAAGGAATGGGAAAACTTCAAGGTACAATACTATATATGGCAACCAAATGTATAGGATAGCTAATCATTCTTTCCTATGGTAACCTATATTAAATTACTGATAACTTTTTCAGAGAGTATGCATATTAATGTAAAGGAAGTAATTATAATACATGGGTGTTGAGGAAAATATTACCACTGAAAAATATATTGTTTAATTCTTTATGGCTTAATACAGTCTTGTAAGAAATGTTTAAAATGAAGTTATAGTAACTCCATTTTTTCCCTCCAAATTTAGAAGGAAGAATATCCGTAAGTAGCTACTGCACGCCGAACCATTTATATGTGCTGTATTGTTTAACCCCTTTAACTACAATTGTTGCTTTTCTTATTTTATGGAAGCAGAAACCAAGAACTGTGGAGGTTGAGGAACTGGTTCAAGTAGCACAGATAGTATAACTTCCAGGAAGATGACCTTGATTTGCCCAATTCCAGATTCAACAAGTTCTTTGTGATTTTACTGTGCTTTCTATGAGGGCTATAGAATGCACTTGGCAAATGAGGATGAGACTATAGTTGTTTTGTAATATATATGTCAAAAGAAAGACTAGTGGCTATGGTGATTTTCACACCGCCATGGGATTAATCCAAACTTTTGGCATTTTGAGAAATTGTCAAAATTATCATCACTGTTATCACCATCATCGTCATCACTATCTTCACCATAACTTATCCAACAGCTTCTATAAAATATACAGACTGGGTGAAACCCTTTAGAGATTTCATATGTGTATATCTTTAATTGTATTTAGGAACATGAAAAGGGATAACTCTGGAGATTGTGGCAAAGCTGAGACACACGGTCTCCAGTATATGTAGAAAATTTATAAAGAACACAACATAAAGACCTAAGACAACACACCACCTTTTAAAGTAGCAGCCTCTTTATTTTTCTAGCTGACATGGTAGATTAATGTGGTATGAGACACCACAGGATCAACAGAAAGTAAAAATAACAGGCAGAGATTTTAAATAGAGCATTTCATAAAAAAAAAAAAAATACTCTAATGGGCTCCTCAAATAAATAGAAGAAAAGGTAAAGGTTCTTCAAGCAGCTCAATCTTAAGCTCTGGATCTGGATGAGCATAGGTGAGTGCAGCACAACATCTGCGTGACTTTAAGCCCAATATTTATTTCTCCTTTGTGTTGTGGGTATATAGGGTAGGGTGGGGACATCAACCCATGCAGTAAGAATGGGTGTGTCAGAAAAACTTTCCAAATATTTATTTCTGTTAAGAGAAGAACAGTGAAACAAAGCATGGGATGAATTCCCACGTCAAAATACTACCTCCCATAACCATCGGCAATGATGCCATCCTTGGCAGAGTGACAGTGTGCTCTTGCCTTGATAAATTCCTAACTCTGTGTTCTCGATAAGCTGGTTTTTACGAGTTTGTTCACATTCTTGTCAGTCAATGAACGCTGATTTAGCTCCCACCAGAGATTTACATTGCTCGAAATATTATAATTTAGTAAAAAAATTAAAACTAAGTCTATTGTTGAAATATATAGCATTTTTCTTTGTAAATTCCAGTTTTTCCTAAAATAAAATCTGATCCTCTTTTAATCCTATACACAAAAACAATAAATAAATTAAAATATTTTAATACTTTTCAATTTCCATTCAAGAAATCCAAATTTGCTTTTAAAAATTTGTACATGACTTTGTAGGAATTTTGCCCCTACCAAAATCTGCTACCCTACGGACTTTCCTTCAGTTCTCTAAAAGGCTGTTCTCTCTCTTGTCTGAAACACCTTTACCTGAGCTAATTGGTAAATTCTTATTGTCAGCTTCACTACTACCCTGTGATTTCAATAAGGGAGAGAGATTGACGAGCACAGCGCTCATCATATAATGGGAACTCAGTAGCTAGGAAGAATGAATGAATGATAGACGTATCTCCAGTAGATGCTTTCACTGCTGAAATGGCCCAGATCAAAGGTGCCCTCACTTTGGTGATGTCATCCCCAATCTACCATGGGGGAGTCCCTGGAAAAAGTAGGAGCTCAGACCTTTCATTCAAGCTATTGTTTCTTTAATGATGCCCTGCTGTCTGTCACATTGTCATCACGTATTTAGATTCTGACTCATGGAACTTCCAGCTGGATTTATCAGACTCTCCGATTTATTAAAGTTACGGCAGGAACAGCTTATGAAGAGCGATTCACAGAGCTGTACCTGAAGCTGGCTGCTCTTGTCCCACGTCCTAAAATCTAGATCATTTTCTAACTGTGCAAGTTCATACCCCACAGGAATTCTTGTTAAAAATGTCCTATTACCTAACATTTGGTGACTGGTCCTGGCAGGGTATCTGTTATGGAACCAAGAAGTTGTCATGGAACTCAACCTTGCCTCCCTTTTTTCCTGTAGTGTATACATCCTGGAATATTGGAACACCTAGACTTTTTAAAAGAATCCTGTGAGGGTGAGCACGTCGGATTTCACAGCACTAACAAGAAAAGATTGAGCTTTCGTGTCCATGCTTTCTAGCCCAGCAGCCTTACACCGTATTGGCACTCTAGAGACATTTTTCTGATTGATTTATAAAATCTGAAACTAAGAACCAATTGGAAAGCGTATGGGAAAATACATTGTTGAACACAATGGTGTGCTAATCAATGTTTAACAAACTACCCCCTAAACAAAACAAAAGCCCTTGATTTGTAGCATGCGCTAATTTTCACGGTGTAAATATTCCCATCGTAGTCAATTTCAAACTCCCAACATGATGTCACCGTGAGTGCAGTTGGAGGAAATGCACATGGTTGGCTTTCATGGGACGTCAGCCTGCCCAGCACACCAGTGAGACACTGACATCTGTGAGATTTGCACTTACACAAACCTGATTTAACAAGTAGGCCCAGAAAACTGTGGCTTTTAAGAATCTCCCGAGAATAAAGGAAGTGACAAGATACGGAGCCGTTCCACCAGGACTGGCTGGAGGCCTGGAATCAGGAGAGGTGGATTATGGATATTTACGGAAAATTAAGTAAAAGGTAGAAATTTGGAAGGAAATAATCATTTCTCAGTATTGCTAACAACAACCAAAACAAATTCAGGATTTGCCGTATATTCTTTCTGGTTCTCCTAAGTTAACTTTTCTGATGAAAACTGTTTGTTTTCTATGCTTGTTTATTTTATTCGGTCTGACAATATATCCCAGACAGGCCTACCACCTGTTTTTTCTTTTTTTTTTTTTTTTGCCATTCCTGTCTCTAGTCAAAGCCCTTTGCTATTCAGAGAAGTTTGAACTCCTCAAACAAACAAACATTCATCTTTTTGGGCTTAATTATCCCTCCCAAGATTCTTCCTTTCTGACCATTCATTCAGTTTAGTTTTCTTGCTCTTCCAGCACAAATTCTCATTTGGCTTTGTTCTTTGTACTTTCCCTCACTCTTCTTAACTAATTTGAGATCTTAGTCTTCCTTGAGGTCACGACACCCACCACATGGTATCAAACCTTCCTGGACTGCCCCAGCTCCCATGGGTAGTCCTTTCTTAATGAGTTCTTATGGTCTATAACTTATGGTTACATGCTTGGCTGTGTACTGAACTATTATTTGCTAAATGTTTTGTACGTGTCTTCTTCTCTCTTTTTAAAGTATATTTTAAGGTATTTGCAAAGAGAGACCATACAAAACAGAATAGCATTGAACACACAGGGAAACAAAAAATACTTGGTGTTAATTTGAATATAGACCTGAAAAAAGATAATTTGATAAGTAAATGCTTTTCTAATGTTTTTATCACATTTTAGTTTCATATGCTAAAATATTTGAATACTTTTAATAGTTTGAACTAAAAGCTGATATAATAATAGTTGCCATCTTTATGGTTCACTCAAATTTGTTCTAGAATAGGGATTTTTTAGTTTTGGTTTTTGGTTAATGTAATCCTTTGGAATGAAATAATAAAAGAGTTATGAATCAGAGTAGAAATCTAGTTTCACATAAAAAGAACTGAAGCAAATAAAAACACTACAAAAATTAGAATGAAATTGCATTCCAAAATATCTGAAGGGATCACTCCATATTAATTTTCAAACTGTATTCAGAAATTTTTAATGTAAATATTCAGTGTGTTGCAAAAATAAAAATCCAAATCATGGACTCAAGTGTGGTCCCTCGCTATAATTTTCATGGATTAAAAGGTTTTAGGAATTTTGGAAAAGGGGTCCAGCAGGCAAGCACTGGTAGTCTAATTTTTACTGGGCATATTAAATGATTAATGGCATTTGTTACAGTTGTTTATATTTATTTTAATTAGTCTTTATACTTAAGCATCTTGAATTCATCTGAGAATATTAACTGCCTATTACTTTCAAGAAGAGGCAGAATGGATACAACTTACTGCATATCTCCATATTGGGCTGAAAAGGCACAACTCAAAAAATAACAAAATTAACTCTGTAGAAATACAAAGAAAACAAAACAAAGAATTTCCACTCCCTTATGTTGTAGCCAGTGTAAGTGACTTCTTTGTAAGGCCAGGGTCAAAACGACTTAATTCTACGGGGAAAAAACTAATTTTAAGTAAATCTGTGTCAAATTCCCCAGCTGCATATACACTTTTGAGTATTGGCTCACGTTTCAATCCACATTCACCCCGGTTCTTTGGCCCGACTGTCACGCCTCGATTCTACCCTTCAAGTGAAATGAAATACCATTTTAGTCTTCTCTTCTCTAGGCTGTATTTCATTAGTTCCTTCAGTTCGCTTCATAAATCTTATTTTCTTTGTTTAAAATTATTTTGTTGCTCTCTTCTGGACCCTCAGTGATTAACATGAGACCACTAAATTAAATTTCACTCGTTACGCCCAAGTCTCTGCACCAAATTATTATGTTAATTGAACTCGTGCCTCAGGCTGGTCATCATGACTGAGCTGGAATATGTTATTGAGAAGTGAAAATTTTCTTTTCCATTATACCAATTATTGCTTGATCTTTTTATCATAAAATTCATATTTGCTTATTCGTCTCAGG